AAAATGTTATCTTTCCTGCCATTTGTTAAGAGTAGGGTAAATAAAAGGGTAGAGGCTGCTGATCAGGGTTCAGAAGAACTAACGTCATGTAGTAGTTTGCAGAGATGCAGAGACAGAATGTCATGTGTTAACTGACGTCCAATACTAGTAGTAGATTGCTGCTTGCTTTACTGAACATAGGGTTCTTGGAACATACTCATCGTGTGTTGGCCGCTGCAATGCAACCCGCACCAACTCTCGCACTAGGAGGATTAGCGCTTTTGTGGCCAGGCCAGGTTTCCTGTCGATCCATGTGAGAACATTGTCCACTGGGTGTTGCCTGCCGTGGCTACACAATCTTGAGCATCAAGTGACAGGCAGGCAGCAGGTAGTAATCCTTGAGGAAAAAAAAATAAAGGGTGACTACAGCAAGTGGAGTAGCAGTGGTTAGTGCTCAGAGGTAGCTGGGATTTGAGGCTGGACACTTTGCAGTTTGCATATAGTAGATTAATAGTACATGACATTGCTTGCAGCTGGGTCCACTTGAATTTAGTTAGACTCATGTATGCATAAAGCAACTACTCAGGTATTTCTGAGTAAATGTTAATTTCGTAATTATAGATCCATATTATTCTGAACTGAATTTGTGTCAGTCAGTATATGAATAGTACAGATCATCAAGTCATAATAGTAAGAGAGGAAGACACAAAATAACATTTAGGCTAACTTTTCATCTAGCAATTCAGTTATCAGATCAGTAACTACTTACTCCATTTGTCAGCTTGTTTGTGGTACAAAAGGAAATAACATCCTGATAATAATGATCCCTTTTGGCCATCACGTACATTTGTCAATCTCCTCTTCACTGAAATTTCAATGAGAAAAGATAAACAAAAGAGGACTATCCTATCAGCAGCAGGTACTGTTAGTACCGTACTAATCTTTTGGTTCAATAAAAAAGGTAATATGAGACTGGTCAGCTTAGGAATAAGATGAATCTCATTCTCACTAATAATGCTCCTTTTCTGCAGGGTCTCCCCAAATTCAGCATTGAAAAGACGGCAGGATATATATATGTACAATGAAGCATTTTCTTTTTCTTTTTCGCCGTTCAAAAGGAGTTGGCGCCCTCTCACTTTGCTCGTGGGCTTTGATTTGATTAATGCAAAAGTGCATGCATGGTAAAGCAATTTGAGCACTGCCATCTTCAGAATCAGAAAAGTGAGTACTGTACTACTCTGGTCAGAAATCAGAACCTGCAGTGGTACCTGCTAATCTTCTTAAGTGCAGTACAAATACCATGGCTTTTTGTTTGCTAGTAAGTAGTACTTGCTTAAAGAACAATAATGAAGCAATTATAGAAATTGGTTAGAAAACACTAACTAATTGCTGGTCTATCCATGGAGAGAGGGAGGCAGGCAGGAATCTTGTGCAGTGTCAGTTGGAGGTTGGAGTTGGAGCCTCACTATCCTTGCAGTTTACAAAAGAAAGAAACAATAGCAAGCTACCATCAACAAGATAACACTTTCAGGCCTGCTTGGTTAGGTTAGGTTGGGCATATTAATTAGGTGATTAGGACTGCACCAAGTGCCATCAATTCCTACAGTCTAAACTGTGGACCAGGCTTCATTAACATGACGCTTAAACCTACCTACGGTACAGTGGTAGTACTAACAACAAATTGTTAGGTGAGAATTGAGATGATGGTCAACTCCCTTCCCTCGGCCTGCTGCAGCTAGCTAAGCCAACGCATGCGGCAGACAGACAGGAATCAGAAGTGGTCTTAAGTCTGCTTAACCTCCCATTCCCATGCATGATGCATCACTATCCTAAGTCTAACTGCTGATTAGGGCGGTCAAAAACACATTAATCAGTGGTGCTTAAAGTGCGTCCTGGCACTCCATGGAAGCAGATTCCAACCGGCAACAAACGGCCGCACCCTGTTTGCTTGAACTACTTCAACAGTGCATTTCATCGAACCAACAATATTTTTCCTCTCACAGATTTCAGCGAAACGCCTGTTAGTTTCGCTAAAATTTGGCTTATACCGATGATTATGCCGATTTGTTGTGAAAGAAAAATACTATTGGTTCGCTGAAATGTACCGGATGAATAACACTAAACAACATCAACCGCTAGGTTCTGTTAGGATTCACTAGTGCTAATAGTTAGATGGCTAGTAGCTAAAATGTTTCTAACTATTGGCTAGTTAATTATTAGCAGGGTTGTTCTGATCCACATGCTAATAGTTAGTTAGATGTGTATATGAACGTTAGCGCCTCTTCACCTAACTAATGAACTAATTGTTGTCACCTGCACTTGCTAATAGTTAGCAGGTTTATGTTTATTAGCAATGTATGTTTAGATCTTTACCTACTAATTTTAGCTGTAACTGCTGGTGCTAGTAGAATCCAAAGAGATCCTTAGCAGCTAGAGTAATAGACACCCCCGTTGCTTGCTGTAACACAATGCCACTATGCAAAATTCAGTGATGCTGCTTGACTGCTTGTGCTTTCCCAGAGGAGAGAGAGAATCATTAGCTAGCAGGAGATTAGTCGCTAATTAGTAGTAGTATAATTACTCACTGTTCCTCCTATCTCTCTCTCTCTCTCTCCTGCACATGACACCCGTGCTGTGTCTTCTCTCTGCTCTCTCTACACATATGACCGTTGGGCCTGATGTGCTGGCAACTGGTACACAACGGACGGCTACACGTACATATGACCGTTTCCAGAAGGACGGACAGGAAACGGGTCAACGTTACGTTACTACGCTTCGACTGGAACGGGATTCGGTTCTGGCTGCAGTTTTCGAAAGAACACCGTGCGCTCGCTCGCTGGTCGCTGCCTGCAGACTGCAGTGGTCAATCAAGGCATCAACTGAAGAAGAAACTCGCCGTCCTCGTCGTTCGTCGTCCTGCTAGACTGTTGCACGCACTGCATCTCTCTCCCTCCATGGCCATGGCCTTCACCCTCCACTGTCTGTCTGTTTCTCTGAGCAGCCCATGCCTACCCCTCCTGCTCTGTTTGCTCAGCTCATGATGTGGATTTGCCCCAAAGCAGGACCTGAATGTCCAAGTAAACGCTTTCTACAACCATCCCACCATCCAAGATCATAAAACCTACCACATCACTCTTTTTCCATTGACAAAGAAACATTATGTGCCACTAGCCCCTCTTAATTAATCACCCCTGTTTCCCCTCAGCCCAGTACTTTAGTCTTTGTAAACACATCATTAAGTCCAAAAGTCCAACCACCATCACCCATCAAAGCATCAACAATTGAATTATCTAGCAAGGAAAAAAGTCGCACTTGTAGACCTCAAAACTCAATTGCTAGTACTACATCTTATCCAACACGCCCCATAAATTCAGCGTCAGTTTCTTCTTGAATCTTGATGGCCACTGGGTTGTTCAGAGGCCATGAGAAAGCTACACTTTTGAAACGAGAGAAAACTGCACTTGGTCTGCCTGCCTCTCATGACCTCGTCTAGAAAACTGCACTCAGTTGACTAGCAAAAAACAAGTGAGATTAGAAAATAAAAATGGGATTATATGATCATTAACATGCCGTAATGCCGACGGCGAGACCTGCACTGATCATGGCCGGATGTGAACGTCGAGGCGGCCTAGACGTAGACGTCTCCGTAGACCTCACTGTACTTTGCTACCGTGTACTGCGTATGCAACCATTGACCTATACCACTCGTCAGTATTTTTCCTTGTTGCTTTTAATTCCGGCTTAAATTGACCGCAGTTCGAGCGAATTGAATTGCAGTCTTTTTTGGTTGGAGTCGTCTCTTGACTTTTGAATTTTGATGAAGCTTGATGAGGCCAGAGATTCTTGGAGCAGGTGAAGACAAAAGAAAACAAGCAAATTTGGTAAGAAAAAAAATGGTGTCATGATGGTCCCAACAAACTCTGAGAGAGCTAGTAAGGCTTAATTTTGTCATGATGCTGTTTTATAGCCGTTGTGAACTTGTTATTATGCTAAGGGCAGCACAATATGTGTCAGATGCTCATAGCATTAAAAAAATGGAGGCCTTGTTTAGTTCCCAGATTTGGGAGTGGCCAAATAATTAACGTTATTATTTCGCTTGTATTTGCAGCATTAATAAACATCAGAATTAGCTCAAGATTCGACTCAGTAAAGTATTAAAAAAAATTAGTTTTTTTTTTAAATATATTTAATCTTTGCTCTGACGTTTAAAATCTTCTTTTAATAATATTTTTCAGGAGTTTGGTGGAAACTAAACATGGCCGGAGCTTTTTTCTAATTCTTTGCTCTCACGTTTAGAGATTTTAAAATGGGTGCAAGTACAATGATGAGCAGATAAAGTCAGAAGGAATTACATCACATGCTGTTGAAATCACTCCAGGTGCACCCTCCAACAAGATCAAAATTTTTGGCTTTCATCAGCTATTTTATTTACAAAACGGCCTGTGCAAGCCTCATTGTTTGGTTAAAAAGAACTCCCAGGCGTTTCATCATTTGCTTCAGAGTTCAAGCCAAAATAACGTGTAGTTTGGTCACGTTTAGAAATGGAACGGGGCAAGGCAGATCATGCATGAACTTTGAAGTTCTGAAGACAGATAGATATTACGACACTGGTGACTGAAATGCATATGAACACCTGATTTTAGAAGGAATGATGGTCGCTACAACAGAGTTTACAGAGTTTATTTCTCTACACAATGTCACAATCACATTTTTTCGACAGAAATTGAATTATGAATGAAGCTTGACTGCTAGAGAATTTGGGCGGGTGAAGAACAAAGAACCATATGATCATCAGTTACAATTGTCTTGCAAGCAAAAGAGTAACACATTAACAACTAGCACACTCCTCTACCACTATGTCATCCATCATCATGCATCAAACGGGCAAAGCACTGAGATTAACAGTGTCACTGAAACATGGCCAAGAAAGAAAGAAAGAGAACAAATCCTTCTCACAAACACAACTTCCACAGAATGCAATCTTTTTTCCCCTCCCAGAAATACACCTTCACGAATTGTCATCATACCCTCCCCCTGCTTTCGCCTGAATCCGCGACAGCACTGCCCATGCCTTCGCCTTTCTCCATCCCAAGACCGCCCATCCTCTTCTCATCGTCCATTCCCTTGAGGTGTCCAGCAGCCTTCAGCGCCCCAATGTTGCTGACGTTGCCAAAGATGAGCACAATGATGCCCAGGAAGCTCCCAAGGAATGCAGCGGCAAATGATCCTCCAGCACGCCCAGGGCCAGCAGAGGAAGCAGCATAGCCAATCATGGCACCAGTAACACGGACAAACGCATACCAGACCGAGAATGCACCCTCCTTCCCCGGTGGTGAGGCATCGAGGAGCAGAATGCGGCCAAATGCGTACAATATGCCATTGGCAGTGCTCTGGACAAGGGCGATGACAATGATGTGGGCAGCTCTCCACCTGTGGCTCTTGAAGTAGAACCCAGCACCAGACACGAATAGGCAGATTATGAACCCAAGCAGCTGCATGCGAACGGCGTCAGCACGGATTATGATCTGGATTGGGTGGAGAAGTGGAAGCGAGATCAAGGGGAACAGGAAGTAAAGGATCCATAGCACAAGCACAAGCACTGGCTTGATGCAAACACCACCAATAGCATAGAGTGTGCCGCTGGTGAAGATGCACATTGTGGCGAAAGAGGACAGGAACACAGCAACCAAGCTGCCAATGGCCTGCGGGTAACGCAGAAGGGTCATGCTGTAGCTGAGCTTGGTGAAGAAGTTGGGCTCAAATGCAGTGGTGGGTGATGAGCTGCTGGGCCTGTTTGTGAAGAGACCATGGCAAATGCCAATGAACCAGATAAGGCCACAGAAGATGGACACAACCCAGAGGCCAGTGAGCTGATCAGTGCGCCGCAGCATGTGGTACATGAATGCAGCCATGAGGGCCGCTCCAATGCCTCCAATGGCAGTGCAGTACAGGCTGAGCTGGCTCGCAGCAGCACGGCGGCGAAGAACAAGGTGCTTGCCTGAGTCATGCGCAGCAAGGCCACGGATCATCAGTCCAAGGTTGCGGGTATGCACTGCCTCAGCGACAATGATCGAGCCCGCAATGAAGAGGATGTAGAATAGGAACACCCAGACAGTCTTGAAGAAGCCTGTGAGCAGGCAGAAGAACGACCCAAAAGACGTGGCAGCAATGAGGATCAGTGACTGATACTGGCCACGGTCGAGATGGTGAGCAGTCTGAGTGAGGAGCGGCGCCACGATGAGGATGCCAATTGCCCATGATAGACCACTCCAGCCCAGTGGTGACATCCGGGAATTATCAATCACAATAGAGTGCTTGGTAAGCCTTTGGTACCTGGCCAATCAACAAATTTGGTGTGAGCATCATGTTTGGTTGCATAACATGAACTCTGAATGGTAGATACAAGAGAATGAACCCAAATGCAAATTTTACAGACTACCACATTCAGAAACAACCATTTGTGAGTTGGGGTGTCAATATACATGCATTTAATAATCAACAATATCCCTCTTTGCAATCAAGAGCAGTTGTTGGCCTGGTGGACTTTTAAGTATGCCATGCTGTAGCACCTACCAGTTGGCTGGGCCTGCAGTTGGCCACCAACAGTTTATTGGGGTAAAAGCAGAGAGCAGTCCTGTAATTGCAACGGTTAAGACCCTCTTTTCCTGTTCAAAAAGGAAAGGGGCCAAAGACCAAAGAGAAAGGGGCAAAGCATGTGGCCTGCTTTTGCCCTCTTTTTCTCTCGGTTCTATCAAAAGTGAGACAAGCAAATGTGCTCCCACCCCCCTATGCCAGCTAGATCTATCAGCCAACAAATGCATACTCGTAGATTGCAATAGAAAATTACTGCTAGGGTGAGTAGTAAATGCAAAAATTGTGGTGATTATTTCTGATGCGACGGCTAGAAGCTACCTATCTGAAATATGGATTCAGGATTTCTAGGCATTAATGAGATGCACAGGCCTCCTCTTGGCACCTCATAAATTTCACACTTATGGCTCCCACTGTTTCCCATCCCAGTAGTACCCCCATTTCGATTTCACCACCAAATGTTCAACGTTACAAAAATAAGTTTTACAGACACACCCCTAAGAACTCCTTGTTTAACCTTGTCCTCCCAAGAAATATTGTGACCCTCCTCACCTGATGACAGCTAAAAAGACAAAATGACAAAAAAAACCAAGCCCAAGACCATGCGTCCATGTCTAGACAGAAAATCTAAGTAGACAAGAGTAATAACAAAAAAAAGAGAAACAAATGGGTGGGTATGAAATGCGTAGCTAAACTGCTAGTACTCAGCTAGATAGGGCCAAACAGTAGAATCTTTTGGAGCTTTGCTCTTGGATCTCTTATCTGCTACCAATAATTGAGACCACGGAAATGAGGAATCTCTGAGGAATCAGGGTCTTTTCTTTTAGGTTATCTTTTCTTTTGCATATACACCAGATATATCAACTAAGCCATGAAAAAAATCTAGTCTTTGTTCTTCTTTTTCACATTTACGAACGGGGCAGGGAAATAGCCTCGGCAAAAGAAGAGCAGACATGTTCTACGCACATCACAAGATGAATAGGACCAAAAAAAAACCAAGCTGAAAACTTCAAAGCGAGAACCAGACGACAGAGAGCCGGCAAAAAAGCAAAAAGTTTGTTTTTTTGGAGTGAAGGATGTAACGTATGCTTCCTTGTTTGCTAAACAGAACAAGATGTGTTTTTAAAGAAGACATCAGGTGGGGAAACCCCAAAACAAGACACCACCTTAGAGCTCTTAAGCAAGAGAGGCAAGTGGGTAAACACTTCACACTGGGGGAGGCAAAACTCACTACTCAATAGCTCAAAGTCTGAAAAAAAAAGGAGGTAGAAATAAATCTGGAAAACGCATCTGACTTGTTCAGACCTACTGTAACCCATGTACTATCTCGGTTCTTGGACAACGAAGAAGAGAGAAAAAATACACCGAGAAAAAAAAACAAATCACTAAACCGCCGAGAAACGAACAAACAAAAACACCATCTAAAACCCCCCAAAAGAACAAAAATAACTCAAAAAACAGGGCAAGAACATCATCTAAAACCCCCCAAAAGAACAAAAATAACTCAAAAAAACAGGGGAAGAAGAAAGACAAAAAAAAAGGTGGCAAACAAAGGGAAAAATCCCAAGATTTAAGGGAGCAAGGAGGAGGAGGAGGAGGTGTGCGTGCGTCTCTTACATGGACATCTCATGGACGGAGCAGGTGGCGCCCTTGAGGGTGTACTTGGGGTCCGGCGTGAAGTCGGAGTTGGGGAAGGCGACCTGCGTGATGATGGCCGGGAAGAGCACCGGCAGCAGCAGGTGGGTGATGAAGTAGGAGCAGAAGCCGTAGATGTACCAGCCCACGAGCTCGACCATGGCCGGCGGCTCCTCGGGGATGACGTACGTCGGCGCGGCCGTCTCGCGCCGGTACGCCTCCCTCACCACCTGAATCTCCCGGGCCGTCTCCTCCCCGGACGGCGGGGCGCCTCCGCCGTTGCCGCCGCCCACGCCGCCGCCGTTACCCCCGCCGCCATTCTTGCCGCCGCCGTTGCCGCCGTTCTTGGGGACGGCCGCCTTCTCCTTGGCCGCGGCCGCCACCGCCTTCTCCTTGTCCTCCTTCTCCAGCGCCTCCCGCATGCTGCTCCGAGGCTGCGGCAATGGCTGCTGCTCCGACATTGCTCCTCGTCCCCTCCTCCTCCCTCTTTAAGCGAGCAGCTGGTGGTGGCTGGAGCTGGGAGGAGTGAATAGGAGAGAGAGCGAGCGGGCGGGCGACGAGCTCACGAGCTATGCGGAGCGGAGTGAAGGAGTGGTTCTTTTGAGGAGTCCTCGCTCGCCTCTTGGGTTCTCAGCGCTTGGGGAAAGCAGCTAGCTATGGGGTAAAGGTGGCGGATTTGAAACCTGGGATTGAACTGGGGTTTTGGGAAGGAGAGGACTGCTGCTGCGCTGTGCTGGGGACTGGGGAGGAGTGGTGCTCGCCATTCGGCCAATGGAGGGGTGCTTTTATGGGGTGGGGTTCTGCTACGGGGACCAAGGAAGAAGAACCGGGGTGCACACACACTACACAAAATAGTTGGTGTTCATGAGTTGTCCTACGGAGGGGCCTTTGGTTGGCCCGGCCGACGTCTCATGATCTGTTCAAACCGTTCTACTGCTCACATGTGATTTTTGTAAACATGTGAAATCCAGGCCAGGGTGTTATTTTGTGTTTTATCATGAATCCATGCATCTATCTAGAATGACACAATACTAGACAATTATTTGTACTGTAAGCTGTCACCTAAAATTCGATGTTACTATGCAATACCAAAAGATTTGGTGTGGTAGCGTGCTCTAGAACGGTGACCACATGAAATTGGCACTTCGTGAAAGACGCGCGGGGACAAGAGAAGAGTTGGTTGGCTCTGTAGTTTTCGATCTCGCTTAGAATACGGTTTGTTGGTTGGCATCACCTTTCGTTTTCTCTCGCGAGTACTACGACGCATCCAAAAAGAGGAATGTATACACACATAATATCATTTTATTTATAGCGTTTCGGTTTTGCCACAAAACAGCAAATTTTAGAATGCGATGAAACCGGGAGTACTTTTACCACGAGTGGGGGGGACCTATAGCAGTTCCTGACGGGGAGGAGGAGAGAGAGGAACATGGGCCTTTGGATACCTCTAGCTAGCTTCACATTTCTCTTGCCCTACGCCCCAGGAGACCTGCTCCCAGCCCCAGCCCCAGTTGCAGAGGTGGTGGCCACTGCTTTGAGAATCGTAAACTTTGTTCGCATCGGTTTGTTTTTACATTAAACACCTCTGGCTCTCCCCCTGTTCTTATCTCGGCATGCAGTGCAGTGCAGTGCACTCTGCGGTCTGCGGTGCGCCGCGATACACTGTTTCTTCCCCATATTCCACCAGTTTTTTTACTGCATCGACACGTTTCATTTTCATGAGCCTCTCTCTCTCTCTCCCAGGTCTCAGTCTCTCTCTATACCGTCTCACTCATCTGCTTTCTCAGCCACAGATGTGCAGCTGTGCACGTATGGCCGTGGCCCATCAGGTCCCTCGCCACATCCGTTGTTTCGCTGTCATGACAAGCCGATCCTATCATAACGATACTACCAACTTGCGCATCGCAACTGCTACCACGGCTTGCCTTATACTAGTGGTAGTAGCATCGTATAATAAGTGCAAATATATATAGCAGCAGCAATTATGCAGTAATGGCTGTCGTCTGGTCAGACCAGAGCAAATACTCGTATATCCAAAGCCCCCGCGGCCTGCTGCGTCGTCCATATCCAACTGCTACGGCATACGGCGTAGACAGCGATAGGCCGCGTTAGGCTTGCTGAATGTTGGTCAAAACTGGCTAAAAAATACTGTTTTAGCTGAATTATTATGAGAAAAAAATACTGTTCTAGTTAAAAAAAAAGCAGAACAAATCGGTAAAACAAACGGGGCCTGACGTATGCGTTGCCATGCGCTCACCACCACGTCACAGCCCACGGTCGTCGCTACTGAAAAAAAAGCCGGTGGCGTGAACAACATGCAACCGCTGCAGATACATGTGTTTAGAGAGATCGTGCCAGGATTTGCGTGACAAGGACCCGGCAGGAATTACAGACGATGGTAACAGGCACTCCGGTAACCCCGGCCGGTCGTTCCTACGTTTTCCATTCTTCTATGCATGTGTTTCCTTTCCAATTTCTTTTTTTTTTCTACGAAACTGAGAGTCCGCAACGAACAGTGAGCAAAGCTTGAGTGGTCAGGTGCTACCATGTGTGTACATGTAGCTCCAAGAAGCACAGTCACATGCATGCTAGCCGGGCTCTCAAACCTACAGGCTACACCTGCTCTCTATTGGCTTGGGAATGGCCTGTTCATTTTTCTGGCTGGCAGGCTGGTTGATGCAAGCAAGAAACATAACAAGCAAGTAGAGGTGGACTGGTGGAGGCACAAAGACAAAAGGATCACCACCACACAGAGGGAGGGACACACAGAAATGCCACTCGTCCTCGTCTATCTATCGCCTCAATTATCACTGTAATTATCTAACAGTTTATTACGCACAACGCAACGAAACTCTGGATCGCTCAGCTTAATTAGCTAGCTGGCCAAGGCCCAGCAAGCAAGACAGCATGTCTGATGTCTCGCTTGCATGCATTAGTGCTAAATTCAGCTCACAACAGTGAGAGTGCCTTTTTCCCAGTACTGCAGTGTTGAGTCTTTGAGATTGAGTCCTGAGAAGGACCTGAACCAGCAGCCCATGGCAACAGCTAAGCAAAGCCAGAATAGTAGTAGTGCAGTCATCAGTGATACTCACAATGCAGGTAAACCACAAAACGCCAAGCTCAAAAGATGAATGAATGGAGCAGCATGCAAGGCACACACTGGAAAACAAAGAAAATGGTGTTTGCAGCGAACACGAGCAACCGATCAATGAGTGAGAGTCGACAGTTGTAGGTGGTTTAGGAGCTGTGTTTGGTGCTGCGTCCATCCCCTTCCTGCATGCTTATTTGCGTGCGTGAGTGAGAGAGCGAGTGAGGGGGTCCATGATCTGAGAACTGAGCTTTGCTGTTGCCCTTTACAGAGAAACCGTCTTGGATTCCAACGAGAGCGGAGGGAGCAGAAAACAAGATTAGGAGAGGGGGAGAGGGGCTGGGCGCGTTGCCGCTGCGCAATGATGCCGGCAGCCGGCACGCTGCTTTCTCTTTCCCGGGCGGCCCTTTTGACCTGGAAGTTGGGATTGCAAAAACCTCCTCCCTCTCTGGCTGCCTTTGGCCATGGCCCCCCACAACTAGCATTATTTGGAGTCTTCATCTGATACCACTCTCATTCACAGGGATACACAGGGAGAGGGCTTTTGCAATTTGCACTGCTAATGATATGCTGGCCATTGGCAAAGACAGCTGGTGTTGCTGTTCCCCAGGACCCCCAAAGCATCCATCCTCCCTCACATTGATGGTTTTGTTTTCTTTAGAGAAATCAAATGCAGTAGCATGTAAAAAAACAACTCACCCCTCGAGCCTTGGCCCTCCCTCACCCAGCAGCCAGCATCTGCATTGCAACAATCGTCCCTGCAGCTGTCAATCTGCATGCATCAATGCCCTAGCTAGGTCCAGTTTAGTTGCAAAAAATTTTGCAAATTTTTTCAAGATTTTCTGTCTCATCGAATCTTTAGACGCATGTATGAAACATTAAATATAAATAAAAAATAAAACTAATTACACAGTTTAGATTTAAATCCACTAGTGGTTAATTGGCTATGATTGGATACTAATTGACAGGTTTGAAAACTGCTTGCTACTGCTATTTTGACAAAATTTTTGACATGTAAACAAGGCCCTAATACCAGTAGAACCATATTTAAAAGGTTGGATGGAGTACTTTTAATTTCCTTCCACTAGTGGTTAATTGACTAAGACAGGTTTGGTTGCTACTGCTGCTACCGTGTGGCAGCTGGCGAGGCAGGTAATGTGCATGTGGGAGTTCGCTTCTTCCTGGGCTTTCTTTTATCCTTTTTCGACTTATCTACTCCTAGCTTATTTTAGCTTATTCTCTTTTATATAATACTATTAAATCAATCGAAATCAGTCGAAATCCACTACGCACCGGATCAGCCGAACGCGCTCGTTTGGACAGGAGAGGAATATATATAGTTATATCGCAGGGCTTGCTTTCGTTTTCTACAGAAATTCCATGGCATTTGAGAATAGAAATTCCACTCAAAAAAATAAGCATAGAAATTATTACATGCCATTTGATTGAGCATTATTTCCAGTGTGTGAGTGTGCGGTTCGTTCAGACTCACACCTTGTTTACGTCATATCTCATCAAATATTTGGACGCATACACAGAGTATTAAATATAGAATAAAAAAATAACTAATTGCACAGATTACGACTACTTTGCGAGACGAATCTTTTAAACCTAATTAGTTCATGATTTGACAATAAATTACTATAATACACATATATGCTAATAATGGATTAATTAGACTTAATAAATTCGCCTTGATTGTTTACTGACGAATTCTATAATTTATTTTTTTATTAGATTCGAACACCCTATGCACACCTTCGTCTGACACCGATAGGACATCTCAAACCTTTACGCCTAGAACTGATCAAGGCCTGAGTTGGACAAGCATTACATTTACATGCTCTGGCTGGCTGCAATGATGGCTGCTAGGTCATGCGGCAGGGCACGTATCGGTGTCTCTCTGGAACCGACCCAACCCAAACCAACCAATGCAAGAAGCTGTGTGTGACAAGAAAGAACACTCGAAACAACCTTTTGTTGTATAATCTACTACGTATAGATGTATATATATTGGGAAAAGAGAAAATGTGTTGCTCAAAATTAAAATTAACAAGAGTCAAACCTATGCAACGGCTGTGTACGTACGTGTGTACCTCCTAGCTAGCAGATGACCTAAATGTGAGTGAAACACTCTCAAACTTGAAGCCAACGAGAGTCAAACCTACGCAACGGCTGTGTACTACGTATCCTTCATAACAGGTGGCCTGGCCCTGTTCGCTCGTCTTATCGGCCGTACTTTGTTTTAGTAAAGAAACAATGTTTTTCTCTCTTAATAAATCAGCAAATAATACTTTTTAATTTGGCTTTTCTGTGAAGCGAAAATGAACACTCAACAATAATCGGCACGAAGTACAACCTAGCATTCTTTTT